CTGAGGGCGGTGCCCTGCCAGGGGTGCAGGTCTCTACCCCAGTGGGAAAGGAGCCACTGGGGACAGGACTTGGTGGGGCTGTGGCCTTGGGCCCAGCCACTGAGAGGGAGCAGGTCCACACCCCTTCTCCAGACCGAGCTGCGGAAGGATCCCTCCCTAGAGAAGCTGAGGGAACTTGCTGGCCACAGCGTGATGACACCCCTGGGGGAAGGCTGCTGGGAGAGATTCCTGTGGGAGAAGGGGTTCCTCTACCGGGAATGGGCTCCCCAAGGGGAAGTGGAACCGTGGGGGATCAGGAGGCAGCTGGTGGTCCCCCAGAAGTATGGCTGCAGGCTACTGTACCTGGCCCACGATGTCCCTCTCTCGGGACACCAGGGAATCCAGCGCCCCAGGCAGAGGCTGCTAGGGAACTTTTACTGGCCTGGGGTCTCTGATGCTGTCCAGCAATACTGCAGGTCCTGCGACCCCTGCCAGAGGGTGGGGAAGGCCCAGGACAAGGGGAAAGCAGCTTTGAGGCCCCTGCCCATCACAGAGGAGCCTTTCCAGAAGGTGGCCGTGGACATAGTGGGGCCCCGCAGCAGGGCGACTCAGGCTGGGAAGAAATACATCCTGGGGGTGGTAGATTTCGCCACCCGCTACCCCGAGGCAGTGGCCTTGTCCTCTCTCGAGGCAGATACCGTGGCAGACGCGCTGCTGACCGTTTTCAGCAGAGTGGGGTTCCCCGAGGACGTCCTTACAGACCAGGGCTCCAGTTTCACGTCAACTCTGCTCTGGTGCTTGTGGGAGAAGTGTGGGGTCGGACACACCTGGGCCTCAGCCTACCACCCTCAGTCCAACGGGCTGGTGGAGAGGTTCAATGGGACCCTAAAGATGCTGCTGAAAACCTTTATGAACCAGCACCTGCAGGACTGGGACAAGTACTTACCTCACCTGCTGTTCGCATACAGGGAAGTGCCCCAGGAATCAAACAGGGTCTCTCCTTTCGAGTTGCTGTACGGGAGGAGAGTGAGGGGACCCCTGGACTCGATGAGGGACGAATGGGAGGGGAAGGCCTCCCCCAATGGAGAATCAGGGTGGAGTATGCACTGACCTTGCGGGAAAAGCTCACTGAGCTCACGGACTTGGCCAAGGAGAATCTAGCCAGGGCCCAAGGGAAGCAGAAGGTCTGGTACAACCACTCAGCGCGTGCTCGCTCCTATGCCACTGGGGAACAGGTGATGGGTCTCATTCCCGTGAGAAAGAACAAACTACAGGCTGCCTGGGATGGGCCATTTAAGCTCATCAAGCAGCTGAATGAGGTGAACTATGTGGTGGAACTGTCTAACCGGGCTCACAGTCACCGGGTGAACCATGTTAACATGAAGCCGTACTGGGACAGGGAAAATTTGGTACTGGCCATGTGTGGCCAGTGGGAGGAGCAGGGAGATGACCCCCTGGTGGATCTATTCCCTGAGACGGGGCCGGCCCTTCGCTGGAATCAATTCCCCTCTCAGACCCGCTAACCCCGGCCCAGCAGGCAGAGATCCGAGGGGTGCTGGGTTCCTACCGGCAGCTGTTCTCCAACCAGCCTGGGCTCCTTAACCTGGCTGTCCCCCAGGTGGAGACAGGAGCCCACCCCCCTGTAAGATGCTCCCTGTTCTGGGTCACTGGAAAACAGCCCAGAACCTGGAGGGAGAGGTCAGTGACATGCTGGCTTGGGGGTGATCCAGCTGTCTCCGAGTCCTTGGGCCTCTCCTGTGGTGTTGGTCCCCAAGAAGGACGGGTCAATACGGTTTTGTGTGGATTACTGGAGGCTTAATGCCATCACCAAGTTCGAGGCCTATCCCGTGCCTAGGCCTGACGAGCTCCTGGACAAGCTGGGGGGGCTCATTATCTCATGACTATGGATCTCACCAAGGGCTACTGGCAAGTACCTTTGGATCCGGATGCCCGACTGAACTTGGCTTTTATCACCCCTCTGGGGTTATACGAGTTCCTGGTCCTGCCTTTCGGCCTAAGGGGGCACCTGCCACCTTCCAGCGCCTGGTGGACCAGTTACTCAAGGGGATGGAGAATTTTGCCCTGGCGTATATTGATGACATCTGTGTTTTTAGCCAGACCTGGGGGGACCACGTGTCCCAGGTTAGACAAGTGCTGGGCCGGCTCCGGGACGCAGGTCTGACTATAACAGCAGCTGGGAAGTGCAAGGTGGGGATGTCAGAGGTGTCGTACCTGGGCCACTGGGTGGGGAGCGGCTGCCTAAAGCCAGAGCCGGCCCAGGTGGAGGTGATCAGAGACTGGCCGCTCCCCAGACTAAGAAGCAGGTCCAGGCTCTCATTGGGATGGCGGGGCACTACCGGAGGTTTGTGCCCCACTTTAGCGCCATAGCCGCCCCCATCACCGAGCTATGCATGAAGGGAAAGCCGGACAAGGTGGTCTGGACCGAGCAGTGCCAGGAGGCTCTCTGGGCGCTGAAGGAAGCTCTGGTAAAGGGCCTGGTGCTGGTAAACCCAGACTTTGACAAGCCCTTTATGGTGTTCCCCGACAGACACGGGGCTGGGGGCGGTGCTAATGCCGGTTGGCGGAAAGGTGGAGAGACACCCCAGGAAGCTGCTGCCCCGGGAGCAGCACTATGCGGCCGTAGAGAAGGAATGCCTGGCCATGGGGGGGGGGCGCTTCACCGTGTACACCGACCATTCGCCCGACGTGGCTACACCAGATGAAAGGGGCCAATGCCAAGCTCCTGAGGTGGAGTCTCCAGCTTCAGGATTATGACATGGAGGTGGTCCAGGTTAAGGGGAGTGCCAACGTTATAGCCGCTGCTTCGTCCCAGAGAGGGGGGCCGGAACTTCCCCTGGCTAAAGTGACCCCGTTCAGTTCGGTCTCAGAAGGGGGAGAGATGTGACGAAGTGGGGTTTTATTCATCTGCTTGTGTTGCATGTGAGTCTTACTGTCCTATACCAATACAGTGTGTGCCTCAGTTTCCCTGTGTGCTGCACCATACTGCGGGGGTGGGAATTGGGGGTGTGAGTTTTGCTGAGGCCCTCAGGGCAGGTGAGGCTGCCCAACTGTCTGCACCTGTGTAACCTGAGACCCAGGAGGGGGGATGCGACCAGGTGACACCTTTGGCCCGGGAAGCGAGAGACAGAGAAGGAGGAGGGGCATGAAGGGGGTGGCGGAGGTGGGGTGGCTGGAGGCTAGCAGTCTGTGTGGGGGGACTGGCAGGGGGGGAGGCCAGGCCGCCTGGCCCAGG